ACTCCATGCTGATTTGTGCGAACGCAGTCACCGGCACTCGGACAGGCTGCATCAGGTCAGCTGGTTTGATGGATGGTGGTTTGCGACGCTGGCAATCTAGACATGCCTGCACGTAAGTTTTCAGAACTCCGGCAAGTCTTGGCCAGTAATAGTTTTGTCTTATCCTTGCCAATGATCTTGCATAACCCAAGTGACCAGCGGTAGTTTCGTCGTGGCATGCTTGCAGTACTTCACGGCGAAGCGAAAAAGGAACGACCAGCAAGTAGCTGCAGCCGGTGGGTGAAAAGTTTTTCTTATAATGAACGTCATTCCGCAAGCAGCACGACGGCAGCCCTCTCGAAAATAACTTCGGCACGCTATTCGTTCGCCCTTGTAGGTAATTTATGAGTGGTAGTAGTTCAGGGTCGTCGCGCTGCTGTTGAGAAAAGACGGCAGTGTCCACAATTCCCAAAAAAGCCGTGTCGTCGTCGTCATCCGGTGATTATGTCCCAACAGAAGATCGAGAAAGACAGTCGGCATCGGTGTGTCGTTTTCCTGACTTGTAGGTAACAGTGAAGTCGAATTATTGGAGCCGAAGACTCCAGCGTGCAAGACGGCCAAATGGATCTTTCAAGTTGATTAACCAACAGAGCGAGTGGCGATCGCTAATAACGGTGAATGGGTGGCCGTACAAATAAGGACGAAACTTCAGGACTGCCCACACCATTGCAAGACATTCTTTCTCCGTCGTAGTATAGTTAGCTTCTGATTGTGACAGCGTCCTGCTGGCGTAAGCGATCACCTTTTCTATGTTCTCCTTCGTCTCTAGGAGTACTGCTTCAAGACCCACATTACTAGCGTCCGTTTGTAGTAATGTTGGCGCGTCTTCATCGAAGTGGGCGAGCACGGGCGGTGTTTGCATGCACTGACGAAGCTCGTGAAATGCCTGCTGCTGGCCTTCGCCCCATGTGAAGGGGATATCTTCTCGAGTAAGCTGTGTCAATGGCCATGCGATGCGTGAAAAATTGGCAAAAAATCGCCGGTAATAGGCACAGAGTCCCAAAAACTGTTGCACTGATTTTTGTCTGATGGCGTCGGGAAATTCGCCATGGCGGCAATTTTATCCCGGTCGGGTCGGATCCCTTGGCTGCTCACGACGTGACCGAAAAATGGAAGTTCGTGGAAGCCGAAGTGCCACTTTTCCGGTTTTAGAGTAAGACTCGCCAACCGTATAGCTTTAAAAACTGCTTCAAACCTTTGTAAGTGTTCCTAGAAAGTCGACGAAAAGGCAATCACGTCGTAGATGTACACCAAGCAGGTTTGCCACTTAAGTCCCAAGAGAACCGTGTCCATCAGACGCTGGAATGTTGCTGACGCCGAACACAAACCGAAAGGAAGTACCTGAAATTCATTAAGTCCATCGGGCGTAGCAAAGGCGGTCTTCTAGCGATCTCTCTCATCTACTTCAATTTGCCCGTAGCCGCTTTTCAACTCCATGGACGAAAAGTAGCGTGCGTTTCGTAGACTATCCAATGAATCATCAATACGTGGCAGAGAATAGACGTCTTTCTTTGTGATCTGATTTAGCTTCTGATAGTCGACGCAGAAATGCAAGCTGCCGTCCTTTTTTTTTTGACGAGTACTACTGGTGATTCCCAAGGACTGTTAGATGGCCGAATATACTATCTTCCAGCATCGTTTTCACCTGTGTTCGAATTGCTTCATGCTCTTTTGGGGTGACGTGATAAGGATTTTGCCGAATGGGTCTGGCGTCGGAAGCCGTGCTGATGCGGTGTTTCGTTAGGGCCATTTGACGAACCCTTGATGTGGATGAGAAGCAGTCGTAGAACTTGATCAGCGTGAGAAGGCGGTCTCGCTAAATGGGAGATAACGTTAGACTAACGTCGACAGATGTCGCTGTAGTGATAGTAAATGCTGCTGCTTCCTCCACTGAATGACAATCTTCTACTTGAGTGAGTTCGTCGAAATAGGCAATAACCGTGCCTTTAACTATGTGTCGGCGTTCTCTGCTGAAATTTGTTAACAAGAGTTCAGTGCATCCGTCAATAACAGTGACGACCGCCCTAGCAATAGAAATACCTCTAGTGAATACGAGCCCCTTGATGTTTTCAGCGATGCCAGTACCGTTTTGTAAGATGTCGCAGTGCACGGGTACGAGAGAGCACCTTCGTGGCGACAGTATGACGTCGTCATCGGCAATACGGAAACGAGGTGGCTGGTGTTCCTCATCAGTAGCAGTGTGCGAGCTTATAGCGAACGTTACGCTTCTGTCGCGGAGGTCAATCAGAGCCCCGTATTCGCGCAAGAAATCCATTCGCAATATGAGCTGTTTACAGCACTCGTGAAGAATGACGAGGGTGGCGACAAAGGCGGAACCAGCGATGAAAATTCAGGCCATGCACTTTCCAACCGGCATCATCAACTGACCTCCTGCAGTTCTTATATTGGGTCCACCCCATGGCATTTTCACCTTTCTTCGTTTTCAGCTAGCTGTAGGCTTATAATATAAAAGTTGGAGCCAGTGTCCACAAGAGCCGTCACTTGGTGGCCATCAATGTGAACGACGAGGTCAGCGCTGATAACATCGGTTACGTCGACAATTGTCTCATTCGTGAAATCAGTCGTTGCTGTAATCTTCTTCGGTATCGATGGCTTCGAGCTGTCATTTGTCTGCAATGGGGGCTGTTCGGAATTTCGATTATTGGCAACCCCACCCCCGAGGTCGCTGCGTCTAGTTTCCCCGTCGCAGGCTAGGGGACCTGCCCCTGGTGACGTCGGCAAAACTTCGACGATTAGGTGAACTGGGCCACAAAGGAGATGGAGAACGGGATCTGGGCATTACTGGATTCTGCGGCGGTGTGTTCACAGGAGCCTCGTTGTACATGCGTCGATCGTCGTACGCAATGTAATCAGGATATCGAGGAAATCTCGAGTACTGAGCGTCGCGATAAAGACAAACTCAGTAGACGTGCCCAGCTTCGCCACAATGAAAGCATACCGGTCTACGGTAAGCGGTACGCCACAAACCGATTTTCCAACGCAGGTACATAAGTGAAGACTCACTATTGGGCCACGTTGTGGGGCATGTTGGCTATGCGGCATTCGTCTTGTCGGAGGAATCGCTGAGGTTGCGAAAGTGGTCGGCGCTGAGACTTGCTGTGTTTGCAGGGTTGGTGGTGGTCCAGTCATTGGAGTTTGCTGTGCCGAAGGCACAACGACGGGGCGTCGGACTGCATCAGCATAAGTAAGATGCCCTCGCACATCACCATAGTCGGATGAAGAGAGAGCCTGACAGACCTCATCCCGGACAACATCAGCGACAAAAGACAGTGCTGGCGTCGGTTCGGTTGCTGGAATTAAACCAAGCTGCCGAAGCTCCTCCCTCAAAATCTCCCGGATGACTTCCCGCAGAGGCCTGTCGTTGTCGGAGAGGCTCGCCGCAGCCGTAACAAAACTACTCGTTTGAAAGTTGACCGGGTTCTGCAGGCGGTACCGTTGCTGTAGAGCCCGTTCAATAGCTGTGGCTTCTTTCGTGAATTCAGCGACTGTGGTTGGTGGATTTCTCACAAGCCTAGCAAACAGTTGCTCCTTCACGCCTCGCATTAAATATCGCAGCTTCCTGTCTTCCGGCATCTCGTGATCTGCCCTGCCGAAAAGACGGGTCATGTCCTCGGCGAACATAGCAACGCTCTCATTTGGTTTTTGAAATTGAACTTCCAAAAGGCGTTGCGCATTTTCCTTTCTGTCGAGACTAGTAAACGTGTCAATCAGCTGGTTGCGGAAGTCGTCCAACATAACCAAGCTTCTTTTCCAGTTGATGTACCACGTCTGGGCGCTGTCCTTTAGGTAGAAGTACACATTCGCAAGCTTGTCTTCTGGGGTGGCCCACTGGTTGTACTTCGCACATCGTTCGAACTGGTCCTGCCAGTCTTGGGCGTCTTCATAAGTCTCACCATGAAAACAATCTCGAATCACGGGATTCTGTAGTGTCATGTGCACTGAAGCTGCAGTGGCCATGGTGGTTAAAGGAGGCAAGCGATTGCTGGTGGTTTCTCGCAAGGGATTGAGCTCATGAGCCAGGCCTAGCAGACGGCGACTGAAACAGTGGACCGTTGTGTCGACGCGTGGTAGCGATCCGGGTTCGAATGTCGGGTCCGCAAAGGGGTGCCAAGAATAAAGACTACCCAGCACCTCCACCAGTGTGACGACGCGGGATCGACGAGCACACAAAGAACCTCGAACAAATACGCTTTATCGATCACAGGACAAAGACTGCAACGTCTTCTTTGTCTCTGCTCTCAGCCAAGGACACCCGCGCTGCTTTGTTCTCACCACCACTGGCATATACTCGCGTCAATATGATGAAAAGATGCGAGATGGTGGTACTTGGAGTGTTGAATAGATGAACGAATGGACACACAGACGCATGGATGCATGGATGCACACAGATGCATGGATGGACGCATGAACAGACGCAGGGGCGGATGCATGGACGAACGCAGGGATGGAGGCACGAACACACGCATGCACGGACGGGCGGATGGACGCATGGACGGTCACACGGACGGACGCATGGACGGACGGAAGCAAGAACGAATGGAAGGACCAATGCTTCGCTCCACTCTCCATCATTCACTCCTTCACTCCGTGGATATGCTGCGAATTTTTTTCTAAAACCCTTCACTACAACGTCCCTCTTATTCTTATGATGGTTTTGGGACGGTAAATTGCAACGATCCTTAAAACACGCCCATCAAACGTCTTTCTCTCAACGTATGCCGTTGAATATCCCAATAAATTAAAAGACTACTGTTGGCGAAGAGTAAAAGACGGCTGATTTGTCTGGACAGCCAGTCCAACGAGGTGCCTTTCACGCATGTATGTTATATATATTGTCAGTACTATAAAAAGATCACGCATTCTGCAAACGTACCGATCGGCGAGTAATACATTATGTACTACACTTACCTGGGTCTCTTGGAACGCCTGTTGGCATAAATTTAGTAGTCATGGCACGTTTCCGTGTGGTAGGTTTCAGCGTGGTAGGCTTCAGCGTGGTAGGCTTCAGCGTGGTAGGCTTCAGCGTCGTAGGTTTCGGCGTGGTAGGCTTCGGCGTGGTACGCTGCACTGTGGTGGCCTTCAGCGTCGTACGCGTTGATGAGGTAGTTGTCCGCGAAGTAGGCTTTGGCGTGGTACGTTTCGGCGTAGTAGGCATCGGCGTAGTAGGCATCGGCGTGGTACGTTTCGGCGTAGTAGGCATCGGCGTGGTACGTTTCGGCGTAGTAGGCATCGGCGTGGTACGTTTCAGCGTGGTAAGCTTCGACGTGGTCGGTTTCGTAGTGGGAGGCTTGGGCGTAGTTTGCATTGGTGGAACAGTGGTGGTAGTCAAGGTGGTTTGAACATGCACAAGGTCAGGTCCACCACTTGCTGTACTGGTAACGACTTCCCGTGTTTGCGCGGTTCTTGGTAATAAGGACGGAAGTGAAAGTTCATTCCAACCATCACCTCCACCACCAGTGCCGCGTTGGTCTGGGACGTTTTTCATGCCGGACGAGTTTTTGCCGCTCATAGTGTCGTTGTCGTCGTCGGGCTCTGCACGACAAACAATGGCATCTTCTGTATCATTTGACTGATCTGCGAACCATTCTGAGATACCTTATCTTACGATGAATGTTGGTATTAAAGCGATCCGCATTAAAACAATGTAGGGACACACTATTGACCACACAGGAAAGTGCCCTGTACCCCGCGTATATGCAGTAGCATGGTTACCTTGTGCATCGATGTTGCATTACCATCCACTTTCCTAGCTCCTGCCATTAAAAGGAACAGTGACGAACTTTAGGCGTGTCGAGTTTTTGTGTGTGTGTGTGTGTGTGTCGACGTGCAGTTGTCAATCCCTGGTAAAGATTCGGTACTGATAAAAGGGCCGAATTATTATACGCAAAATTTCTCATTGTATTATGACCAGTATCGAATTCATTACATAACAGGCACAAAGTCAGCTCATTTATAGTGCTGCCAGCGCTTCCAAACGTCCCCTCTCATGGTCAAGCCCCTTCTAAGACCACAAGAAACCGTGGCGTGATCTCCAGTTGAAATTTCGCCGGCTCTGCGAGCACGTGTATAGGCATGTTTATGCCGGCCCCAGTGCCGTCGCCGCTGTGATCGTTGTTGAAAAGCGATAATGAAGACACAGAGGAATATGAAATAATGGTGATTCGTGGTGTGATGAATCATTTTCGGTTCACTCCTCTTCTGAGCAGTGATTCTGAAATCGATGCTGGACTTAGCAGCGATAAGGTAGCTGGAGATGCACGCCTCGGCCACGCTTCCTGGTAAGACATATGAACGCTACCTGCGTGTTAGTTGTTTTTGATGACTGTGGCTTCAAATAGTCACGGTCGTGCTCGGGACTGCACGACAAGTCACCTAAAGGGGCGCAACAAAACGCAGGACTCACGTCAACGCGCTGCGCGAAGCAAGCGATACAAAGCAAGTGAAGCCGCTGTTAGGCAGCCAGGCGTCACTGCCCGACGGTATGCAGGCACCGCAATGACAACACTAGAATTGTCGACGTCATCGCTGCTCGCTCATCGTCATTCGGCTCCTCAAGCATGGCCAAGGAGCTTACTGAACACGTCAAAATACCGTCGATGTCTCTCATGACCGGGAACGCATAGATGAGCCTATAGCTCTTTGCTCTCGCAAGAGAATAACTTCTACGGAACGGGCATGATTCATATTTTGCTAAAAAACTCATCTGTATCAAGCAATGAAACTAACGCCACATCTGGAGCTTGACATTTGGCGTCACATCTCCTTTAAAGCAATCTCCTCTTCACGTGGTTTCGTGCGTGCAAACACCGAAGAAGCATATATATATATATATATATATATATATATATATATATATATATATATATATATATATATATATATATATATATATATATATATATATATATATATGTGCGTGTGTGTGTGTGTGTGTGTGTGTGTGTGTGCGTGTGCGTGCGTGCGTGCGCGTGTGAACGAAGTAAGTGGGCGGCGTGTACAAGATGGAACTTTATTTGACCGATGAAGTCATGGCTGAGAAACGGCAATTCAATGTAGAGCAATACACACTGCACACGCAGACAGCGGTGAACAGTGTTCCGGCCGTCGATTAAGTGTTCCTCGGCGAGGCGCGTCAACATTTAATACATGTGCACCGAAATTTCTAGTGTTATCTCTGGCGCTTCCGAAAGCTGTGGAACAAATTTGACTATTCGCATAATGTGCGTAAGTCTATGGGAATAATCTCAGCCATTCGTGAGGCTTTCCGTATATTGTAGATTGACTGATATGTGGGGTTTAACGTCCCGAAACCACCATACGATTATGAGAGACCCTGTAGTGGAGGGCTCCGGAAATTTTGACTACTTGGGCTTCTTTAACACGCACCCAAAACATGAGCACATGTGCCTACAGCACGTTCACCTCCATTTAAAACGCAGCCGCTGCAGGCTGGGATTCGATCCCGCGACCTGCGGATCAGCAGCCGAGTATATTAGTCACTACACCACCACGGCGGGGCTTTCCGAACATTGTGACGTGGTCTGCACCAAACGTTGTTAGTAGCTTTTGTGGGTGTAACTGCGTCAAATAAAAATGAGGCAATGAATGCGTTCGTTTCAAAAGAGTATTTTCCTTAAGACACTGGGGCGCCGCACCATGGGCTGTTAAGTCGATGTTTTCTTGTTTTTGTTACGGGTAGTATTGCGAGTCAGTCATTTATTCAAACGGAGTACTGGTTGAACAAGATGGCACCCGTCCAAGAACAGCCAGAAATCGTCGTCGTCTTTCTTTTTCATGCTGCAAGGCTGCGGCGGCTGTACTGTATTAATATTGCAACGTAAATTAATAACACCATTAAAAATTGTATGCACCATTTGAACCATTCTGATGCGTTTGAACCTTCCGTAACACTGTTCGTTTAGTTGTTAAAGATGCAAAACACAAAGGTTAACAACCCAACATTGCGGCACTGAAACACATCCGTAAAATAGTTTACACACTGCATGCGCTTAGCGAAACACATCCACGGAGATCAAGAACGAAAAAACGAGGACGGGTGCGCCGACTGCCGACAGCGCAGCAAACAGTGCATGGGTTCATTGTATACGTTGTTATACACGAAGTGGTGAAAAAATAACCCTAACCTAACTTACTTAATTTAGCAGGCAAGTTACTTAACCAAATAGATACATAATACAATCACTGCGGGTATAGATAGAGTCACTTAACGTGAAATGGCGAGGCCTGCAGCATCACACGAGGCGGCTTTTCGAGCTATGGCAGAGCATCTTTGTCGTTAAACTATGATAATCAATTGTATCTATAGCAGATGCTTACCTTCCTCACCACATAGAACTGTATCTATAGCAGATGCTTACCTTCCTCACCACATAGAACAGATGGAAGAAGGAGCAGCTGAGGCTTTCTTGTTGGCGCTGGAGATGTTCGCGTGCCTTCAAAAGTATACGGTGCGATTACGTTGAGAGGTGTTACGGAAAATAGCTTATCAGAATGCCTATGTATATATAGGGCTTTGCAAGAATGCGTGGTGCGAAGCGACGTACAAGTCGCTTACGTGTGAAGGAGCAACGATGAGAAACACAGCTGTTTCCTTAGCAGCAAACGACATATTTGCTTCTTGTTATGCGACAGCCGGGGGCAATGGCACTCGACGTCTGAACACGTGGCGTGGTTCTTACCTTCCAGCCCTTGAAGAAAGTAGATGGCCGCGCTGACGAACACAATGGCGCCGACACAGAACAGCAAGAATGTGAAGATATGCAGCGTCTCCATGTCAGGGCTGGCGGAAAATGTGAATGTGGAAGAATCAAACGCGAAACGTAAATAAATGTCGCAATTTAAACTTGTTCTTTTTGGGTTTTCGCACTACAGCGCTACAACAATCTAATGATAGAAGCCCATATGTGAATGGTTATCATGCATCAATTCATATGTTATATAGATTTGAATACTGCACGGTCTTGTGCTCATGCATTCTTCAGCTCAGTAGGTCAACGTCGTTTGATTTGCGGCAGGCCTGTCCTTGTAAAGCGCGCGTGTTTGAATTGCTACCGTCATTATGATGCCTTGATGATATGTCCTCCTGACACAGCTGATTATTAACTTTACTGGCAGGCACAGCGCTTGCTTATATAAAAGCCGACCTGCTAAGATCTCAACTAAGATTATATTCCGTACGGGATAACTTTGCTTTAAGTGACAAGTTTTAAGTGACAAGTAGGCACTCCTAATTTTATTTGCCAAACGGAAAATAAGTACGTTATAGCCCTTGACTGTGGCGCCGTATATGTAGTGGCCAACATTTTAATTAGGACAATGATATCCTCGAATAAATGAATAGGTTTTACCCGAAGAATGTGGGACAAAATATTCAATGCTGCGTGAGGAAGTCGGCCAGAACATAAGCCTTATGCAATGACACTGTTTTTCGTCGTCCTCTTGCGTCAATCATCCCGGCAGCTTCATTTCTAAAGTTCATTGATCAACAAAGCGTAAGCTACTTAATTATCCCATCTGTCCGTTCTGACACTACACCCCATAGAAGCATCATATTCAACCAGAAGCCCTTCCTCGGCAAAAAATGATCATCAATTGTCCAAGGTCATACGAAATATCTAAATATGAAAATCATCATGAGAATGAGGTATTCTCCTACACAAATCCAAACGTTTTATCTGATCAAACTGAGTATGTCTTAGTATTCAACAAAGCGCGTGAGTTTGACTAAACACATATTTTATGTTGCGACGTCGCGAACTAAATGTGCATGACAAATGTCGGCGTGCTGACCTCTTCATGGTTCGTACTGCACTTATGCGACGTTTCGCACAGCATCACATGCAGTTTCGCGCCTGCAAACACCAAGCCAAAAAAATATCCGCATGGGAGCCCCGCAGAGGAGTAAACAAGTTTGCGACAGAGGGCTTGCACTCCGCCCTTCTGCCATCTATGAGTGAGTGGTCGTGAGATAGCCATAGAGTTTTGCGCCGCCATACCTAGAGGGAAGCACGACACCAGTCTCCCCACAGGAGCCAATAAAAGCGCGCGAACGGGCGAAACCTCCGTCCTATTGACTTAATATGCCGTTTAGCACCATTTTGTTATATTCCATTGGCCTTCACATCTTAGTTGGCATCCGTCATTCACGATTATTAAATCCTTATTGTAATCTCTGGCTTTAAGTTTATACAATAAAGCACTGCCGTAAAATCAAAAACGATTATGTGCCGTGAATGTCGGAGGCCTTAATGTAGCTACACATGTACGAGAAAACGTGAGGTTGTCTAGCACGTATTCGCTCAGTAAATTAAAAAGGATTTCAGTTCCGAATCCACACCGATGTATTAAATGATTTGAGCTTGTACTGCAACACAAACTGCACCGCATACAGGAACAAATGAAGCCACCTCTCACGCATCAATACAGTGAAACATAACTTGAACAAACTTCCAAGGGACCCTTGCAAAAACTTCGTTAAATTCAAAGCTCTCTAATCTGAAACTGCTGTTTCAAGTTGTTATCAGAAATTAACGATAAAAGTTGGTGAAATAAAATTAGAGCTATATATTTATTATGCTGCTCATCCTATTGTGAATATTTGCATATTTAGCATCTTTTGAATCATGCTGTAATTGTTCATTGAATTTGCGCACATAGTACTGCAAGGGTCATGAATTCGGTCATAGTGTATAACGTCTGGTGCTCAATACTCTGCTTGGCATGAAAGACTACACTCTAGGAAAGTACATCAATGCTTCTTCAGTTGAAATTTTTTTATGCTTCCTCTACAAGGGTCACTTTTTCCTTACACTGTTTTTTTTCCCTGTGGCAAGGCACTCGCTACACCCTCCGCTGCAGACAGAGTGGCACAGGTATCAACGCACCCATTACAGGTTACGTAGCCCTCGAAAGGCAGAATGTTGTTTCGCGTACCACAGGCGAAACCAATCTCGAAGGCCACGGCAAAGCCAGCCTACAGCAAGTCTGGTTGTACTGGTTATCATTATGACGTGGAAAACATTGAATGCTTCATTATGTCGTACAAGTAAAGCAAAAAGACGAGAGCAAGAAAGTGAACAAAAAATGGCGGATCCCACGTAGAGTGGGAATCGGTGATATGCGAAGCACGAATGAGAAAGGCGGATATACCATTGAAATCAGCACAACGTTACGAGGAGGAGGTAAGTTATGCCGCACATGACGTGCACGTCATTATTATCATGTTTGAACATGCCATTTACCTTCGTCAACTATTCTCGTCCCCTGATACCAAATTTGTTATATGTGGAGCTAGCGAAACAGCCGCGAGCTTGCTATGAGTGTAGCATGTAGTCAGGTTTTACATGACACGCATGCCATGATTATCGTGTTTGGACGTGTCATTTACCTTCGTCTATTCACGTCACGTAATACCAACATTGGTATATGCCGAGCTATCAAAACGGCCGCGAGCGTGCTATGAGCGTACCATGTAGTCATATTTTACATGACACGAATATCATGATTATCATGTTTGCACCAGTCATATACTTTTGTCATTCATTGACGTCACGTAACACCAAATTTGGTCCATGTGAAGCTAGCGAAACGGCAACGAGCGCATCATGAGCGTGGCATATAGTTTTGTTGTTACATGACACGTATGTCATGATTTTCATGTTAGGGTCTGTCGCTTGTGTTCGCCATGCAGCCATGTCATACCATACTAGTTTTGCAACATAAAATGTGAACAAAACAACCGCAAGGGCTAGAAAGACCATGAAATGTAAATCATAACATTTTTGACATACATGTGAATTTTGATGTTATGACTAATCACTTGTTCTCGTCATAGTCATGTTATGCCATACCGAGTTTGGTATTGATACCATCACCGAAACGGCGAGGAGAGCTAAAAGTCGAAGGCGGCTAGACAGACAGACAGACAGACAGACAGACAGACAGACAGACAGACAGACAGACAGACAGACAGATAGATAGATAGATAGATAGATAGATAGATAGATAGATAGATAGATAGATAGATAGATAGACAGACAGACAGACAGACAGACAGACCAGACAGACAGACAGACAGACAGACAGACAGACAGATAGACAGATAGATAGATAGATAGATAGATAGATAGATAGATAGATAGATAGATAGATAGATAGACAGACAGACAGACAGACAGACAGACAGACAGATAGACAGATAGATAGATAGATAGATAGATAGATAGATAGATAGATAGATAGATAGATAGATAGATAGATAGATAGATAGATAGATAGATAGATAGATAGATAGATAGATAGATAGATAGATAGATAGATAGATAGATAGACAGACAGACAGACAGACAGACAGACAGATAGATAGATAGATAGATAGATAGATAGATAGATAGATAGATAGATAGATAGATAGATAGATAGATAGATAGATAGATAGATAGATAGACGGACAGACAGGCAGACAGACAGACAGACAGACAGACAGACAGACAGACAGACAGACAGACAGACAGACAGACAGATAGATAGATAGATAGATAGATAGATAGATAGATAGATAGATAGATAGATAGATAGATAGATAGATAGATAGATAGATAGATAGATAGATAGATAGATAGATAGATAGATAGATAGACAGACAGACAGACAGACAGACAGACAGACAGACAGACAGACAGACAGACAGACAGACAGACAGACAGACAGATAGATAGATAGATAGATAGATAGATAGATAGATAGATAGATAGATAGATAGATAGATAGATAGATAGATAGATAGATAGATACGCTCAAAGTTGCCGAAGTTTGATAAGAAATACTTCGCATTTAATACCACAAGAGCCATAATGAATCAGTAAAAATCGCTCACCTCTCCGTCTTGCAGGGATTGGATGGTATAACAAAATATGTTCGTAGAACTGAAAAGTGCTCTGCACTATTTTTTGCTAAACTGAAATGCGTTAGCATTGAGCCCAATAGAAATTCGGTAAGACATTTAACAAAGTGTACAGCTGAGGAGTTCGTTTGACTGATGGTCGTTCAATTGGTATATTTTAGGCTTGTGCGAATAGTGAATCTTAGGTTCAAAGTGAATTCGAAGCGAATAGTAGTTTGGTCAAATAATTTCGAATTGAAAACGAGTAGTTTGTATCACATACTATAAGGAAAAATGTGCATATTTGTCATGATCTAACTAACCTGCACAATACTTTTTTTATTGAAATAGGCCTCTATGCAAATGCCTTCTTTTTTTGTTGAGAGGAAGTCGAGACTGGTCTGAGTTTGAGTAGGAGCAAGATTTGAGTTTGGCAGGATGCGAGTGATAACCTGCAAAATTGGTAACATTTGAAATATTGTTATGGAGATCACGTGAAGGAAGAGAAAGGACAGAATCAGCTGAGAGGCGCGCGAGTGTGCCAATCAGCCATTGTTACTCTTACCTGTGGTTTTTTTTCCTCTATAAATGCATTTTGTACAGAAGTCACCGACCCCGTAACATATATGAGAGAGGTGCTGGGTAACTATCAGGCAACGGAGCTCCGCCGCGGTCGTCGCATCGATTTTACAGGCATGGCCAATGGTGAGCCCTCCGCGTCAATGTCAGCGCCTTCGACAAACACGGCGTCGCAACCATACGTTTGCACGCCACTTAAGGATCCCGGTACACTCTGCGGGACCGATGGCATCGACGTTAACGATTGGTTGGCCATGTTCGAACGAGTGAGTGTGCCACTTCAGTTGGCTAATGTGCTGTTTTACTAGAGAGA